TCCTCCTCCTCCTCCTCCTCCTCCTCCTCCTCCTCCTACTCGGGGTCCTGCTCAGTGGGACCTTCATCAGCCAGGACACGGGCACGCTTGAGAAAGCTGCAACCGTGGGTCGGACCAACCCCTTTCTTCGCTCCCCCCCGCCGGGCCTGGCAAGGTCCTGGCTTCCGGGGCTCGCGCTCACACCGCGGGCGCACGCCGCGCTGGCCGGCTCAGCGCAGCCGCCTGGCCTCGCGCTCCGTCTCGAGCAGGGCCAGGATGTCGCCCTCGCGCACTGGCCCCTTCACGTTGCGGATGAGCGACCGGCCCGCCAGCTCCTCGCGCGAGCGACGAGAGGAGCGAGCTCGTCGTCTGCGGCATCGGGAGGCCGTGTTCAGACCCCAGGACAATCAAAAAATCGATCCACGATGAAAAACCTGCCTGGATGGACTCTGGGAGCGGTCCTGGGACCGATTTCGAAAGGATTCCAGCGAATATGGCAATATGTTCCTGCCCTCGCGGACTGGACACCGAGGCGCGATTCCATGGATACGCGATCCCGTGGCAGCGTTCCGCGCGGAGCATACGCATAGGGCCACCCCGTATCCAGTAGTCCGCGGCCGAGGAGTCCAGACTGCGAGGCCGTGGATTTGGATAGCCGCCCACGAGCTCCGGGGTGGTCTCGGTCATGAACATCACGCGCACCTGGATGACTCCACCGCGAGAGCCGGTACGTCCCAGGATCTTCTCCACCTTCGCGAGCTTGGGCGCGTTGGAATCCATCACTGCTGCCTCCTTCTGTGATAATAGGACTCCTCACTGAGCGCAAACCTTGACACCGTCTTGAGCTGAAATAGCAATCGAGGGGGAGGTAGCTGCGAAGCGACGGGCCCCATGATGCCTGCTCTGGACAGATTCCTCGTCTCCTTGGGGCTGACGCGGGTCTCTGCACAACGCAGCAGTGTTCAAGTGATCGGGGCTAGAGCTCGGTAAGAGCAGAGGACGTGGCGCCTGATCACTCGCCTTGAGCTAACGTCGGCATGACGCTTTCGGGTTGCGTCCAACCTGTCTCTCCTCCTTCTCCTCCTCCTCCTCCTCCTCCTCCTCTTCCTCCTCCTCCTCCTCCTGCTCCTCCTCCACTCCCCTCCTCCTCCTCCTCCCTCCTCCTCCCTTCTCCTTCTCCTCCTCCTCCTCCTTGTCCTCTTAAGTTTCTTCTGTCTCCTCCTCCCGAATATGGATCATCCTGCTCCTCCTGCTGCTGCTGATCCGCCTCCTCCTCCTCTCTCCTTCCCTCCCCCTCCCCCTCCTCCTCCTCCCCTCTCCTCATCCCTACTCCTCCTCTCTCCTCCTCCTCCTCCTCTTCTCCTCTCTCCTCCTCTCCTCCTCATCCTCTCATCCTCCTCTCTCCTTCATCCTCCCCTCTCCTCCTCCTCTCCTCCTCCTCCTCCTCCTCCCCCTCTTCATATTATTTGGATGCTTAGTAGTAGTAGTGGATTGATCTTACTATAACTACTAGTAATATGGTTATTATTGCTAGTATTCTCGGTCGAACAATTATTCATGGTAGCATTATTGTTGCTATGGTTATCACTGCTAGCAGAAGTAGCATTACTCTTACTAGTAGTAGTTGCAGTAGTAAAAAAATAATGTTAATATAATTGTTGTTTTTCCTGCTCCTCCTCCTCCTCCTCCGCCTCCTCCCTCACCCTCCTCCATCTTCTCCGCTTCAGTGTCTTATGTCTCCTCCTCCTGCTGACCATGGGTCCTCCTGCTCCGCCTGCTGCTGCTCCGCCTCATTATCCTCCTCCTCCTCCTTCTTCTCCTCCTCCTCCTCCGCCTCCTCCGCCTCCTCCTCCTCCTCCGCCTCATCCGCCACCTCCCTCCCTCTCCCTCCCTCCCTCCCTCTCTCCCTCCCTCCCTCCCTCACCCCCTCCCACCCTCCCATCCCTACCATCCCTCCTTTGTCCCTTTCTCCGCGTATATATATATATATAAATATGTATAGCTCCCTCTTTTTGTTTCTCTCTCTCTCTCTCTCTCTCTCCCACCCTGAGAATTTCCAACATTCGTATCCTTCCTCATCATACTCATCTCGCTAGTTTGCTTGCTGGGTTTCGCCGCCGCCGTTTTCTTCTCAGGCAATTCGACTCGGATTGGCCCAGGGTGTGCTCGCAGCTCCGTCCGTGACACCATCTCTCGAAGTTGCACGAGAGATTCAAAGTTTGCCCGCGATATCAGCAGCAGCAGCGGTGGTGGTACGCAAACAGGGACTCTCTCTCTCTCTCTCTGTATCACTCTCGTTTTTCTCTCTCTCTCTCTCTCTCTCTCTTCCTTTCTCTATTTCTCTGTCTCGCTATATTTCTCTTTCTCTCTCGCTCTCTCTCTCTCTCTCTCTTTCTCTCTTTCTCTTTCTCTCTCTCTCTCTCTCTCTCTCTCTCTCTCTCTCTCTCTCTCTCTCCTTCTGTCTCTCTCTCTCTCTCTCTCTCGTTCTGCCCCTCCCTCTCTCTCTTTCTCGTTCACTCCCCGCGGCTACAATCAGCCCTACTGACCCCATACTGGCTGGAGGACAACCTGACCCTACCTGAACAATACAACTTGGAACTGGAAGCTGGAAAATCAAGCCTCCAACGACACGCTTCGATCCCGTTGATCACGCCGGGATCCTCCTCCTTCTCCTCCTCCTCATCCTCCTCATCCTCCTCCTCATCCTCCTCCTCGTTCTCAAGAGGCAGCTAGGGGAGAGGATGTGTTCCAACATCGTTGATGACGCTTGGCTTTACACTGGTCCTCCTACTCCTCCTCCTCCTCCTCCTCCTCGTCATCATCATCATCATCATCATCATCATCATCATCATCATCATCATCATCATCATCATCATCATCATCATCATCATCATCATCATCATCATCATCATCATCATCATCATCATCATCATCATCATCATCATCATCATCATCATCTCCTCCTCCTCCCCCTCCTCCTCCTCCTCTCATAAGAATCAATCATCATCATCATCATCATCATCATCATCATCATCATCATCATCATCATCATCATCATCATCATCATCATCATCATCATCATCATCATCATCATCATCCGACGCTCTCCTCCATCTATTTCCTCAGACAAAAAACTCCGCACCGTCGCACCCCGAGACGCGTCGGTAGGGCGGGCTGTGCGTTTCGCCGGAGTCTTTCTCACTGCTTATGATCATGATGCTTGACGTCCCAGAGATGGTGTCCTGGCACGGCTTAAGAGTGTGAGGACGCCACAGTCGCGTTGACTCGCGGCGTTGACTCGCGGCGTTGGTGTCCCAGGGATGACGTTCTGGCACAATTGGTGATTCTCAGACGGTTGCCTTTCGGTGGGACGCCTCCCGCAATGAATATTCAAAAATCTTGTTGGGACCTAAGAGGAGCGAGATTGGAGGGAAAGATTATTGCAATAACATTGATGCGTCTTGGGTTTACACTGGTCCTCATCCTCCTCCCCCCCTCCTCCTCCTCCTCCTCGTGCTCCTCCTCCTCCTGCTCCTCAACCTCCTCGTCCTCCTTTTCCTCCTCCTCCTCCTCCTCTCTCCTCATCCTCTCCTCCTCCTCCTCCTCCTCCTCCTCCTCCTCCTCCTCCTCCTCCTCCTCCTACTCCTACTCCTCCTCCTCCTCCTCCTCCTCCTCTTCCTCCTCCTCCCCCTCCTCCTCCACCTCCTCCACCTGCCCAAGCCGCCGCTCGCCTGGGCGCCGTCCGGTCCACACACCAGCAGGGCGGGAGGAGGCTCTCGTTGGCGGCGACGTTGGCGTCGCCCCTGAGAGGGGTCGTCGCTGCCGTCGTCGCCGTGGGCGCGCGGGTGCGCGCGGACGCGCGCGCGGGCAGCAGTAAGACCCGTGCCACCTCTCCAATCTGGCCTTCCAGGATTGCCTGCAACCTGCGAGCACTCTACAGGCTGCGCATGAGCCTAGGAAGCGTTCAGCTCCGAGCAGTTTAACAACGCCGCCGCCGTCACCGCCGCCGTCGGCTTCGTCGCCCTTGTTGTCGCCGTCGCTGCCAGCAGCGTCGGCGGTCTTCGGCGGTCTTCTCCCAGCTCTCGCTGGCTTCTTCTTCTTATTATTATTCGTATTATTCTTATTATTATTCTTCTTATTCTTCTTCTTATTCTTATTATTATTATTATTATTATTATTATTCTTATTATGCTTCTTCTTATTATTAGTATTATTAGTAGTAGTATTATTAGTTTTCTTATTATTCTTAGTTTTCTCATTATTCTTCTTCTGCTTCTTCTTCTTCTTCTTCTGCGGCTTCCCGTGGTCTCTCCAGTGCCACGGCCAGCTCCGCGGTAGGGGACCCGCTGCCCCCCACGTGGGCTGACTGGATCGGGAGGGCCTTGAAATTTGGAGGGGCGGTGCTTGCGCACAGCGAGGGCGCCGATGGCTGCCCCAGGCCGAGGACGAGGAAGAGGGCGACGAGGAGGGCGACGGATGTTAAGAGAGGGAGAGGGGGAGGCGAGGAGGAGGGCGAGGCGCTCCCTCCTCCCCTCCTCCTCCTTCTCCTCCTCCTCCTCCTCCTCCTCCTCCTCAGATTCCCGACGCCATGTTTCTCCATGACGCGGGCCCCCAGAGGTCTGCACCACTTCCAAAGGACGGGCTCTTCGCCCCCAGTCGTTTTGTGGACGATCCCGGAGCCCAGGGAGGGCCCCCGGAGGCCGCAAATGGAAGCGCAGCTACAAAGCTGCCACGCCCTGCGGCACTTGCAGCAACCCTCGTCAGCGACACGCCAGCCAGCCAGGAGACACAAAGGGCATACATGCCCCGACAGGCGTGTGATTCAGCGACGTCAGCAGGTCGGACACTCAGACAAGCCCCAAATCCGCCATGGGGCCTCTGGCACAGAGTGGGGTGCCCCAAGGCTCATGCAGCAATGAGAAGTAGAGTCTTTGCTGCTGCTGCTGCTGCACGCCAGCAATCGTCCTGTTGCTGCTGCTGCAGTCAAGGGCCCGGACCAGCCGTTTCCCAGACCGTCTTGGGCCGTCCTGGGCCGTCCTGGGCCGCACCAGGGTTGAACGGGCTGGCTCCCGTGAGATCTGGGGTGTTTCCTGCGGATCCTCTGGACGCTGTGACCGCCCAAAACGGCCGAATAGAGACCCGACTCGCCGAAACATCGCTCAAAGGCGCTGCCAAAGGCCTCCAGAGGGCCCAAGACGCCTCCACGACGCCCCTAAGAGGCCTCCAAAAGGCATCCAAAGAGGGCCCCAAGAAGCCAAAATCATTGATTTCTCTATGGTTTAAGGATTCGGGAGTTCTCGCCTTTTCGGCTTCCCGACGCCCCCAGACGGCCCAAGACGGCCCCAGAAGCCTCCAAGGGGGCCCCACAACGGCCCAAGAGGACGCCCGAGAGACGCCCAAGAGGGCCCCAACGGGGACCCCAAACAGGGAACACGAACCGAAGATCCAAGCCTTCCACCCCAAGAGGCTTCCAGGAGGCCCAAAGAGGCGCCCAGGAGGCCCCAACAGGCCCCCAACAGACTCCAGGAGGCTCCCAAAAGGCCCAAAAGAGGTCCCAAGAGCGGTTTCTCGATGGCGGCTCCTGCAGGGGCCTGTCGCCAGGCCTGGGGGCCCTCCAGAGTGGATGCGCGGCGAGATGCTGGCGGTGGGGACCTCTGGGGACGCGCCCGGAGCAAAAGCAGCGTCGTCGAACGTCCAGGGGGAGCACACCAGGTAGGCACATGCCCCGATCCTGACGCCGATCCTGGGTCCGGGCGCGGCCTGGCCCGGATCGGTGCAGGTGTACGTGTAGCCGGTGCCCTCCGAGTCTGAGGGCAGGAGCGCCAGGCAAGGGCGGCAGGGGCTTTTCTGGCCCCGGCGAGCCTCGGCCGCGCATGTGGAAGAGCGGGGGGCGCGGTGGTCGGCAGCACGGGGCTGCACCACAGACCCCTGAAGGCCGCGCCGCACGCGAGGAGGCGGCTCAGATGCCGTCGTCGCCAATTCCGCCCCGGTGCAGGTACTGATCCTCGACGCTCCGGTCGATGACGTCCGAGCCCACGTAGCCCTGTCCGACGGCGAGCTACGGGGGAGGGGGACCCTGAGATCCTGGCGTTGCAGTTTTTGTCACACGGGACGGTTCCGTCCGGCTCGACCCTCACAGATGGCTCTGGCTCAAGAACGGACGCACCAAGATTGGGTCTAGGGCGCAGGTGGTGATCTCTTGCGAAGTTGAAATTGTCTGGGCAACGTCCGGTGCGAGGATGAGTCGACAGAGAGCAGGCCTTCTCCGAAGGCGGCGGGGCTCTCCTCAGGAGCCCTCGCGCCTCTTGGGAGGCAACCCGTGAGCCTCCTCCGAGGCCACGGACGGGTTCCCGGGAGGCGCGGGGGCTTCTGAGAGGAGCCCCGCCGCCTCCCGAGCAGGCCCCGCCTCGCGCCGGCCCCCCCTCGGGCTCGCGCGCCGGCCTGCATGGACCCGACCCTGGTCAGGCTGAGCGTGCTCTCGTGCTGCGCCGAGCTCAGCCGCACCTGAGGGGGGGGGAGCAGGAGGGCGCCCGCACCTCTGCGCTCCGTGGGCCCCCTCCCGAGGTGCGGCCTGACCAGACCTTCGACACGCGGCCGTGGGCGCGAGGGCTCAGCAGGGCAGGCAGCTGCATCGGCACCTTCCCTGAGAGCCGACGAGGAAACCAACAAGCAAACAAGCCAGCAAACAAACGAACAAACAAACAAACAAACAAACGAAAAGAAGAGGAGAAGAGAGGAGAGGAGAGGAGAGGAGAGGAGAGAAGAGGAGAGAAGAGGAGAGGAAAGGAGAGGAGAGGAGAGGAGAGAAGAGGAGAGGAGAGGAGAGGAGAGGAGAGGAGAGGAGAGAGAGGAGAGGAGAGGAGAGGAAGAGGAGAGGAGAGGGAGAGGAGAGGAGAGGAGAGGAGAGGAGAGGAGAGGAGAGGAGAGGAGAGGAGAGGGAGAGGAGAGGAGAGGAGAGGAGAGAGAGGAGAGGAAGAGGAGAGGAGAGGAGAGGAGAGGAGAGGAGAGGAGAGGAGAGGAGAGGAGAGGAGGAGGAGAGGAGAGGAGAGGAGAGGGGAGAGAGGAGAGAGGAGACGGAGAGGAGAGGGAGAGGAGAGGAGAGGGGAGAGGAGAGGAGAGTGAGAGGAAGAGGAGAGGAGTAGGAGAGGAGGGAGAGGAGAGGAAGAGAAGAGAAGAGAAGAGCAAGAGAAGAGAAGAGAAGAGAAGAGAAGAGAAGAGAGAGAAGAGAAGAGAAGAGAAGAGAAGAGAAGAGAAGAGAAGAGAAGAGAAGGAGAAGAGAAGAGAAGAGAAGAGAAGAGAAGAGAAGAGAAGAGAAGAGAAGAGAAGAGAAGAGAAGAGAAGAGAAGAGAAGAGAAGAGAAGAGAAGAGAAGAGAAGAGAAGAGAAGCAAAACGAATAAACAAACAAACAAACAAACACACGAACGAACGAACGAACGAACGAACAAACAAACAAACAAATAAACAAACATACAAACAGACAGACAGACAGACAAACAGACAAGATAACCCTCGTGGACAAGCACAACCAGGAGCCAGATCGATCCGTGAGGGCCTGGGGGCCCGAAGCAGGGCGAGAACGCCCGACTCGAAAACGATGCGACGCCGGGATCTCAGGGCCCTCTCCCTCCGAGAGCACCAGGGCCGACAGGCGGTCGCTCATGGGCGCGGAGGGGTCCACGCCGAGGCGCTCGCCGATCGAGCGCACGCCCCCGAAGACCGCGCCCAGCAGCGCGAGCCCGCACCCCACGGCGAGGACCACGGCCAGCGCGGTGCCTATCGCGGGGAGCCCGTGGTGGTGGCTGCCGTACGTCCTGAGAACAACAAGTTCGGGGATGGACAGAGCCCCCTCCACTAAAGCTTGATTTCGTGAAAACGACCTCGGGCCCAAACCTGGCGGGTGCAAGCCTGGAAAATGACGGCCGCGGCGCCCTCTCGAGAACCGAAAACGGACAATTCACTAAGCGACGTGTCAGGGCGGGGGTTCTGTCCACCCCCGAAAAATGTCATCGTTCGCACTGTCTGTGCGCCCTGCGGCACCCCGTTCCCTGGCCCCCCCTCCTGCTGCTGCTCTGCGAGGGAGGCGGGAGGAAAGGACGCGGGCACGACGACGACGACGACAACGACGACGACGACGACGACGCTCCCCCCAACCACATTTCCCTTAAATAAAGCTGGAAGAAAAAAACAAATAATGCATGAACGTACATTTTCGGAGCTCCGCGCGAATTTCTTGGATCGGCGCTGGGCCCACCTGGCGGCGCCTCCGGCGTCGCCCATGGCGCGCTCCGCGCGCCCGGGCTGTGGGGGCCCAGCGCCGATCCAAGCAATCCGCGCGGGACCTCCGAACGTTCTTTGTGCGAGGGGCAACGATACAGGGGGACCAGCTCAAGGGAGGAACCATCGCTGGAATCGGCAATGGATCGCCGATAGATCGGCGATAGACCCCCGATGGCGAAGCCGCACGTTCCTGGGCGGGTTGGGCTATCAGGCCACTATCGGCGATGAGTGGGCGTTCGGGAGTCGCTGCACCCCTTCCTGGGCGAATCCCCCCCCCTATCCTTGCCCCTATCGTTGCCGCTGACTGTGCCGTTCTTTCTTCTTCCAGTCCTCGCGACCAGCTGGAGCTCGCCGTCGGCAGCCCCGAAGAGCGCGCACCAGATCGTGGGTTCCTCCGTATCGATCACGACGAGGTCCCCGTCGGCGGAAGCTACCTGGTCGAAGTCGAAGACAGTCTTGGGGGCCTTCAGGGCCGAGAGGACGTGGGTGACGTTGGGGCCCTTGGAGAACTGCAGCGCGACTGAGCGGGCGCCCGCAGTGTTCTCCACCTCGATCAGCGTCATGCGGTCCCTGTACAGCCGCACGGTGAGGGCGTCGCTCTCGATGGCGCCGAGCGAGAGGTTGTAGATGTACTGCTCCCCCGAAGGATACTTCTGGCTGTGCGTGATCTCCAGGTGCCTGAGGTCCAGGAAGGAGTCGTACAGGTCGGCCACCCAGCTCTGAGGCACGTCCTCGAACTCCGGGTCCTCCCGCAGCGCGATGGTGGCAGATGCCTGGATCTTGGCACCGTCGCTGGGCGTCCCGCTCCGGTCCTGCAGCCCGCGCGGGTGCGCGTAGATCCCCACGAACACGTAGGCGTTGTAGTCGGCCGGCCTCGCCTTGAATCCGCCGCACTTGGCCGCCAGCGGCAGGCACCCAATGCAGCACTCACAGCCGCGGCAGTCGCCTGCGTCGTGGCCGAAGCAGGCCGTGCACTGCCCG